AACATTGAGTGAACGTATAGACTAATTATATGAATTGTAGATAAAGTGATTTAAAAATATTTTACAACTTTTGCGTAAAAGTATTTTACAGTTAAACATTATTATGCCAAATATTCTAACAAATACTATTTAGACATATTTTTATTTCAGTTATACGATAAATTACGACAAGAGCAGCCTTTAAATTTTAAGAAATTAATTCCAATTTTTGGCGATACCAGTCAAGAAAATTTAGGTTTATCAGCTGCCGATAGACAAATGCTGATTGAAAGAGTAAATATAATAATTCATGCAGCCGCATCCGTGAAATTTAACGATACTTTAAAATACGCCATCCTTACTAATACCAGATCAACGAGAGATATATGTATCTTAGCCGAATGTATGAAGAATCTGATCGTAAGTGAATTCGAGATTAATTCTACATTCGCAATATTCATGAAAAAAATTCTTTCATTGTATTTCATTAAGTGAAATAGCTTACACTGAGTTTTTATTTAATTTGCGAAAGATACAGTAACATTGTCATTGCACATTTATTTCTAGATGTTTTTCTTGAGGTACATCTTTCAAGTTTAATATTTTAAAAATATGTATATATATGTATATATAATGTATATATTTACAAACATATTTTAAATAAGAGATGTTTCAATATCAATTAGTATAAATTAATTTTTTATCGTGTTATTTAAATAAATGTAGATTTTATTGAACAAGATATTTAACTGTTTATTACTTTCAGATAGAAAATAAAATATAATAATATAACTATTATATATATAAAACATTTAAAAAAGAGAAAATAGTCCATATATTTCACGTTCCGGAAAAACAAATTTAAATTTAAAATTGATATCTGAAATTATAAACGTGCCTTTATTTTATGCTCCCAATTCTCTAACTGTAGTATTTTGTGACTAAAATACGATTTTATAAGATAAATATTTTTATCTGTTAAAGGCCTTAGTATATATTAGCACAGCATATACACATTTGGATAATCCATTCATAGAAGAAAAATTATATTCACCTGTAGATGATTGGCGGAAAATGATCAAAATGGCTGAGTTATCGGATGAGCATATCTTAAATATTTTTACAACTAAGTAAGTGTATTAAACATAAATCAAATGTATGATACGCGTATGTAAATTTTAAATATGTATCAATTAGAAAATATAAAATTATTCTCTTCTATTAATATCGTAATATTTCAATTATTTTTTTGATCATTTTTTTAATTATATATTTTAACATTTTTGTTTGAAATTATGTGCAGATGTTTGAATAATATTCCCAACACTTACATATTCTCGAAAAACTTAGCGGAGAGTGTAATACAGGAATATTCTTTGTTCTTGCCTTGTGCGATTGTGAGACCGTCCATAGGTACGTAACTTTTTTCTTTAATGTTAAAAACTTTGTCTTTCCTTTTTTTTAATGTTAATTGTAATATACAAATAATGCGGAAAATACATGTATACATATATGCGTCTAAATTTTAAATCTTACAGATAACTTAATAACAGATTACAATAACATATTATTAAGATTTCTATTTGTATTTAACAGTTAAAATATTTTAATTCTATTATACTATAGATATATTCATATTCATATTCATATTCTATTATACTATATATGTTAGATAGTAAATACGATTTATGTACAAGGAGAGAATGAATATATATGTATATATAGCTCTTTTTATTATATATTATAATAATATATATAATAATTTAATAATAATCATAAACCAAAAATATTTAATTTGTTAGTTGCATCGTCGTGGAAGGATCCAATCCCAGGATGGATTGATACTTTTAATGGTCCATTTGGACTAATGATTGCTGGCGGAAAAGGATTAGTGCGAGTAGCATTAGCTAGTAACAGTATTTCACAAAATAACATACCAGTAGATACTGTCATCAATACTATAATTCTTGTAACTTGGAAGCTTGGATTGACAACGTATGTTCAATTTATATTTATAAATTAATTTGAACTTATGTACATTTATACTTATCATTGCATCTCTTATTATATTATATTTATATTTATTTCGTTTTTTTGTATTAGAATTTATAGTTAAAAAATCACATATTTATTCTTAATTGAATTCATTTTTTCTGGAGTGGAATTAAACTAAAATTTTAAAAAAATCATATAAACAATTTTTTTAAATATATTCACATTATCACAGCTTAACTTATTAAAATGTGTTAAAATTTTTAATATTGTTTAATTATCGTAATTTCAGCATACTTATAATATAAAATTTTATAATCTATAATATTTATATAAACAAGACGTTGATTAATTTATAATATAATCTATTATTAGTGTCACACCAGCTTCTACATGTTTTGTTGTAAACTGTACTTTTCCGGATGAAAAAAATATATCCCTTAGGGAACTTTGCAACATAGGATTCAAAGTTGCAGAGAAGATACCATTCGAAAGAATTGTATGGACTCCTTATACATTATTTACTGAAAATCATGTTACGTACTATGTACTGACCATAATATGGCATGTCTTACCAGCTATATTACTAGATCTGATTTTAAAATTTTTGAGATATCGACCTATGTAAGTACCAAACAAATTAAATACTTTAAAATATGTAAATTTATACAAGAAAGTGATTCTTTAATATTATATAATACATTTTACTTTTCAAAGAAAAATTCAACGAAAAAACATAAAAATTTGAAAGTTTCACAAATAACTATAAACTGCAACATAGTATATATTATATATTACTTTTTTGTGTGTAAAAAGAAATAAATTATGAATAAAAACATATGTTAATTCAGATAAAAAGTTATTCTAAAAAATTTAGTTCTTTTATTATATTATATTTTAATATAAATATTAAAATTGTTATATATGTTTCATAATGGCAAATATATATAGGGTATTGGGACTGCAAAGAAAAATATATGTGGCCAATCGTGCTTTACTACATTTTATGATTAACGAATGGAAATTTGATAATACAAATAGTCGAGATCTAATGACACTGATACCATCTGATAATCGAGAAATATTCTCGATCGATCTTTCTGATTTTGATATGAAACAGTATATCACGTAAATATAAATATACATATACGTATATAGTTTGACTTTAATAGACTTAAAAATATTTGTATTTATAATTGTATATATCATAGATGTTGCTATTTTTTGATTATATATTTTTATATTATTTATATTATTTGTGTCACAATTTGATCATACACTACTATAAAAAAAAAATAATAATAACAGGTAACATTTTCCATTCCAAAAAGTTATAGAGAAAAATTTTCTCATTTAAAGTATTCAATATACAAATTAATTAATTTAACATACAAACAAGTTAAACATAATGGCAGGCGTATGATAAATAAATTAATAAATGCAACAATAAGTTAACTCTCCTAACAGATTTTTTGATAAATTCTATGAATTTTTAATTGTTGAGAATACTTAATATAGTATATAGGTCAAAATTTATAGCAAGGTAGTCAATAGTGATGCCATTTCTTTGACATGTTTATATATATATATATATATATATATATATATATATATAGATAACAATGTATATAAGGTTAATAAATTTAAATATTTATTTATAATAATTGTAATATTAATTTATTTTTATTTTATTATTTCAAGAGATGGAATCAAAGGGTGTAAAAAATATCTTCTTCACGAAGATGTGGAAAATTTAAATAAAGCCAAAACTCATTTTAAAAGGTGCATGATGATGACTTATTTTTAAAATATGTTGAAACATTGCTGTCATTTAAATATGAGATAGAATGATGTAAAAATTAAAATATAGTAAATTTAAGAAGGAATTATATTTTTAACAGAGTGTATATTTAATTATATATTGTTGAAAGTTACTATATAAATTATAAATAATTATTTTTATACAAAATTTTATTGTTGCATTTAATTACGCTTATTCTGTTAATATTTTAGAATGAAGCTGTTTGTTTCAACATTGAATATTATTATCGTTATTACTATACTGTGGATGATGACCAAGTGGATATTCTTTTAAACATTTTAAATCACTTGATTTATAAAATTTATGCGCTATGTTAGAATTAAATATGTTATGTTATAATATAAAACAATAAATGTAAACAGAACGATGTGCGAATTTCTTTTTTCACGATATTTTATGTACCCACAATTTCGGAACAATTTAAATATATATTTAAAATTAACTGCATCTGTAGGTTCGCATAGCCAGCTTACTGAAACTTTTATATTATTTTAATTTTAATTTTGGAATGTCTATTATGTACATAATTTTAATTTACCAATTTTTAATTATGTATATCATTTTAATTTCTAAATATTTGTTGTGAATCAAACAACACAAGTATGCGTGCTTTGCGCGCGTTATTGATATTACGCGGAAAATAATTTTTTATATATAATTATATATAAATAATTGTAGGTAAAATTATACATATAATCGTAAAAAATATTATATATGAAATATGTCTATCTTTATACATAATTATGTAAAATTTTATATAAAGAGTATATTATAAGAGTTCATATATAATCATGTCATATATGAAACATATATATGTATATATATATATATATATATATATATATATATATATAAAATTACTTATTTTTTTACATATTATACATATATAAATTTATATAATTATATATAAAAGGCACTTTTATCTAATTATGCGTGGACATATTTTATATATAATTTTGCGATTATATGTACAATTTTATATTTTTCTATATAATTTTATATTGTTATATATAAAAAAATTTATCTTGGGTATTTTAATTTTTTATTTTACAACTGTTAAGCTGTTAACCTTCACAATAGCAGTTGCTTGTTGCAATATTAAATAATATACAATATTAATCGAAACAACCTATATCAAGGCATGTGGCCTTTGAATGACTCAGGATTATTTTATAGAATATGCGAATGACTGAAAATCAATTGAGTGCCATCAAGTATAGAAATAAGGCTCACGTCAAAAGTATCGCGCCGTTATCAAATGTACAGCTTAATATCCGAAATTGTTCTCTTTTTGAATAATTTTTCTGTCAAAAGAGATATTTCCAAAACTAGAGCGGTAATCGAAAATCGACCGACAATTTGCTGATGTAATGTAAGTATATCAGTTTTCAGTTGCGACTAGTTTGGAAATGCGATTGATGCAATCAGTTAGAGAGAAAAGTGTGTATTTTAAAATAATTTTACTAATACATATTATTAAAATTAAATGTATAAAAATTTCCAATAATGTATTTTTTTTAATCTAAAAATATGCTATAATATATAATAATTAATATATGTCATAATATACAATTGGACTTAGCAAACAAATTCACAACTATAAACTTGGGATAACTAAGTTAGTGGATATTAAATTTATTCAATACTGCAATAAGTTGGCATAATAATTAAGCTATAAAACTATTTATCATTTCTTTTATTACATCTTTATTACTTATATTTTTTAATTATTATATGTGTATTTTACGATACACACATGACGATATTTTAGTCAATTTGTTTCGATATAAATTCAGATATGTATGTGTTTAGACAAAATTGTTTAAAAATACAATAAGTAATTTATTACAGTAAATACTAAATCAAATATTGAACTTTAGACAAAAATTACATATTAAATATAGCATAAATTGCATAGTATCATTAATGGTTGTGTTGTTGATGAATCCTTCATATAATTGTCTGCATCGCATTTTTCTTTCTTTATTCAGCTTTGATCTGTAGCATTTTCGGTTATTTGATAAACATAGTTTCATCCTCTCGTTTATGTACCTTTGATTACTATTTATATAAAATCGAAGTGTAGCTACCGCTTATTAGTATAACGAAATATTAATTTAAAAGAAGCAATAACGTTTTAAGTACATTTGTAGATCTTATTTACTGCTACATCGACGTTGTTGATACCGTTCTACGATTGCTTTATTTTAATAATAATGGATAAAAATAATGCAGCAAAATCGATTCCGGCTTTTTACGCTGGACAAAGTATACTTTTGACAGGCGCAACAGGTTTTTTGGGCAAAGTATATTTCGAAAAGATACTGCGATCTTGTCCGGATGTTCGAGAAATATTTATATTGATGCGTCCGAAAAAAGGACTAAATATTAACGAAAGACTCGAGCAAATATTAAACTTACCGGTAAGTTATTTATCAAAATGCATATCTCTTGCAACACACAGCATTTCTTTAAAAATTGTTATTAATTAACATTTTGATAAGAATAATTTTTAGATTATATTTTATTATATTACTATATATACGTCAATTATAATTAATTTTATAATTATAATAAATTTGATAAAAAAGTGTATGAGATGAAACATTGAGAGAAACGTATAAAGTAATTATATGAATTGTAGATAAAGTAATTAAAAAATATTTTACAACTTTTGCGTAAAAGTATTTTACAGTTAAACATTATTATGCCAAATATTCTAACAAATACTATTTAGACATAATATTTTTATTTCAGTTATACGATAAATTACGACAAGAGCAGCCTTTACATTTTAAGAAATTAATTCCAATTTCTGGCGATACCAGACAAGAAAATTTAGGTTTATCAGCTGCCGATAGACAAATGCTGATTGAAAGAGTAAATATAATAATTCATGCAGCCGCATCCGTGAAATTTAACGATACTTTAAAATACGCCATCCTTACTAATACTAGATCAACGAGAGATATATGTATCTTAGCCGAATGTGTGAAGAATCTAATCGTAAGTAAATTCAAGGTTGATTCTACATTCGCAATATTCCTGAAAAAAATTCCCTCGTTGTATTTTATTAAGTGAAATAGCTTACATTGGGTTTTTATTTAATTTGTGATGTAGTAATATTTTCATTGCACATTTATTTCTAGATATTTTTCTTGAGGTACATCTTTCTAGCTTAACATGTGAAATATATATACACATATGTTATGTATATATTTACAAAAAATATTATAAATATAAGAAATGTACATTGGTACCAATTAGTATAAATTATTTTTTTATCGTATTATTTAATTAAATGTAGATTTTATTCAATAAGAAATTTAACTAGTTATTACTTTGAAGCAGAAAATTAATTATAATCTGTCTGAAATTATGAACACAGCTATATGTTTTGCTATGAACTCTATATAACTATAGTATTTTGACTAAAGTACGATTGTATAATATTAATTTTTTTATCTGTTAAAGGCCTTAGTATATGTTAGCACAGCATATTCACATTTGGATAATCCATTTATAGAAGAAAAATTATATTCACCTGTAGATGATTGGCGGAAAATGATAAAAATGGCTGAATCATTGGATGAGCATATCTTAAATATTTTTACAGCTAAGTAAGTGTATCAACCATAAATCAAATACATCATATGCTTATATAAATTTAAATGTGTCGATTAGAAAATATAAAATTATTCTCTTCTATTAATATTGTAATATTCCAATTATTTTCGATCATTTTTTCATGATTTATTTCAATATTTCTGTTTAACATTATGTGCAGATGTTTGAATAATATTCCCAACACTTACATATTTTCGAAAAACTTAACGGAGAGTGTAATACAGGAATATTCTTTGTCCTTGCCTTGTGCAATTGTGAGACCTTCCATAGGTATGTATTTTTTTTTTTTTAATGTAAAAAACTTATTCTTTCCTTTTCTTTAATGTTAATTGTAATATACAATTAATGCGGAAAATATATATATTTATATTAAATTTAAAATCTTACAGATAACATAATAACAGATTACATCATTATTAAGCTTTTATATTAATATTTAATAGTTAATATATAATATTATTTATAAACATATTGTTCATGAAATATTATTTAACAATAATCTCAGAAATAAATATTTTTATCGGGTCTCAATATAAAGAATATAAATATAATGTTTTCTAAATCGGCCAACAGTGCCAAAGCACGAAAAATTAATTATTCGGAACTGTATCTCTTGGTTTGAGATCACAAAGTTCCATATATAAATTAATCTCGAAACTTACATATGGAGAAATAGGCGCGAAAAATATAGGTCCAAAAAGTCGCTGAAGCGGGAATCGATTCTGCGTCTTTCACTTTCCGGACGACTGATCTTACCAATTAAGCTATTCAGACCCTATTTAACAATAATGTTATTTACAACAATTTATTTAATTATTTTAAATAACAATTAAAATATTTCAATTTTACTAGTTGCTATATGTTATAGATAGTAAATATGTTTTATGTACAAGGAGAGAGAGAGAGAGAGAGAGAGAGAGAGATATGTAGCGCTTTTTATTATATATTACAATACACAATATCGAAAATAATTTAATAATAATAATAAAAATCTAAAAAATATTTCATTTGTTAGTGATGAATTCGTGGAAGGATCCAATTCCAGGATGGATCGATACTTTTAATGGTCCAATAGGCCTGATGGTTGCTGGCGGAAAGGGATTACTACGAGTATTATTTGCTAGTAACTATATTTCACAAAATTACGTACCAGTAGATACTGTCGTCAATACTATAATTCTTGTAACTTGGAAGCTTGGATTGACAACGTATGATCATCAATTTTTACTTATCAATAACAATTTATACTTATAATATTTATATTTATCAATGTATCTCTTAATATATTTTATATTTATTTTTTTCGTTATTTTTTTTTTATATTAGAACATAGAGTTAAAAAATCACATAATTATTTTAAGTTTAATTTATTTTATCTGGAGTGGAATTAAAGTAAGATTTTAAAAATAATAAATATAAAAAAATTGATTAAATATAACTATACATTCTTAATGCTTATTAATTTATGTTAAAGTAAAATTTTTAATATTCTTCAATTATCTCGTAATTTATAATTCCGCATATACTTATAATATAAAATCTGATAATCTATAATATTTTTATAAACAATGCATGGATTAATTTATAATATAATTTATTATTAGTTTCACACCAGCTTCTACATGTTTTGTTGTAAACTGTACTTTTCCGGATGAAAAAAATATATCCCTTAGGGAATTTTGCAATTTGGAATTTAAACTTTCGGAGAACGTACCACTGGATGGAATTGTTTGGAAACCTAATACATTATTTACTGAAAGTTATGTTATGGGCTATGTACTGACAATAGCGTTGCATATCTTACCAGCTATATTAATAGATCTGGTTTTAAAATTTTTGAGATATCGACCTATGTAAGTACCAAACAAATTAAATACTATAAAATATATAAATTTATACAAGAAAGTGATTCTTTAATATTATATAATACATTTTACTTTTCAAAATAATTTCAACGCGAAGAAGCATAAAAATTTGAAAGTTTTACAAATAAATATAAACTTCAACATAGTATAAATTATATATTACGTTTCTGTGTAAAAAGAAATGAGGTATGAAAAATATATGCCAATTCAGATAAAACGTTATTAAAAAAAATTAATTCTTTTATTACATAATGTTTTAATATAAATATTAAAATTGTTATGTTTCATAATGGCAAATATATAGGGTATTGGAACTGCAAAGAAAAATATATGTGTCCAATCGTGCTTTACTACATTTTATGATTAACGAATGGAAATTTGATAATACAAATAGTCAAGATTTAATGGCACTGATATCATCTGATGATCGAGAAACATTCTCGATCGAGTTATCTAATTTGGATTTTGAACAGAGTATCAGGTAAATATTAATAATATACATATATATGCATATATATCTTGACTTTAATAGACTTAAAAAAAATTTATATTTAAAAATGTATATATATCATAGATGTTACTATCTTTTGATTATGTATCATTATATTATTTATATTATTTGTATCACAATATGATATAATGCACTACTAAAAAAGAGAGAGAGAGAAAAAAAAAATTTTTTAATTTGAAGTAATCAATATACATATTAATTAATTTAACATATATATAAACAAGTTTAATATAATGGCGGGCTTATAATAAGTATGTACATTAATAAATGTAACAATAAGTATTAATTCTCCTAACAGATTTTTTATAAAATCTTTCAATTTTAATTGTTGATAATACTTAATATATAGTATATCAAAATTTATAGCAAGTTAATCGACTTGGATACTTTTTTTTATATGTTTATATATACATTGATAAGAATATAAATAATGTTAATAAGCTTAAAATATTTATTTATAATAATTATATTATTAATTTGCATTTATTTTATCATTTCAAGGAATGGATTGATAGGATGTAAAAAATATCTTCTTTACGAAGATATGAAAAAGTTAGATAAAGCCAAAACTCATTATAAAAGGTGATGATGAGTTATTTTTAAAATATGTTGAAACATTTCTGTATCATTTAAATGTATAGTAAATTTAAGAAACAATTATCATTTTTTGTTGAGCAGATAAGTATATACATATATATATATATATTTTTTAAATTATATATATTATATATATACTCTTAAATTATATATATTATATATATACTCTTAAATTATATATATACATATATATATATATATATATATATAATTATATATATTGTTGAACGTTATGCTATGAAAATTGTAGATAATTATTTACAAGATATATTTGTGTGTAAGATGCATTTAATTATTCTTATTCTGTTAATATTTTAGAATGAAGCTGCTTGATGCAACAGTAAAAATTATTATCACTATTACTCTCCTGTGGATGATGACCAAGTGGATATTATTTTCAACATTTTAGATTACTAATTTAAAAAATTTATGCAATATATATATGTTATAAATCTGAGTAAAATATCACGCCAATATCTTGAAAATATTAGAGGTACGATAAAATGTTTCACACAAAAGTTGTGTGGCTTCGAAGGGAATATATAATATATGAAGATCACCTTAAATTTTTAAATGGAATCCCTTGTTTTTTATTACATATTCTTTGTTGCTTATCTCAACAGTTTTCCAAAATCCTAGAATATAAGTATTTTTTCATGGAGTACTCTTTTATAAGATTTAAAGCTAACAATTTTTTGGCATAAGATATATATATATATATATATATATATATATATATATATATATATCTTTTATAAAATATTCATTTTTCAATAATTATACCTTAATACTTTTTTGCACAATATATAATATAAGAACAAGAAAACAGATAATTGTTTAAGAAAATATGTAATATATTCAATATGCAGCTGCATATTTTTTTTAAATAAGTAATTATATGTATTTTTCTACACAAATTTATTGGTCTCATTATTCCGTACAAAAAAGTAAAAGTTATATGATTACCGAAAATGGAATATTTTACAAGATATTTTACATTTATGTCAAAAAATTGTTAGCTTCAAACCTTGTTTAGAACTTAAAGAGTATATACTAGCCCATGAAGAAATACTTTATTATAGGATTTTGGAAAGTTCTCGAGATAAGCTATAAGAATAACATGTAATAAAAAATAGGGGGTTTCATTCAAAAAATTCAAGGTGACCTTCATGTGACCTACAAACGACTATCCAAGGTCAAACCAGTAACACCATCTTATTATGTCCCCCTCGAAGTCAAACATTTTTTCGAGATATTTGCGTGGATAATTTAAAATAAGACACCCTATATATTTAATTTAATTATATATCTATAATTATATGTAATATATAACAAGATATAATTTATATATATTGTTATTTTGTAAAATATGCATATATAAATTTTGGTGTATATGGTTATATTTGGTGTATAATTGTTGATAATACTTAATATATAGTATGTCAAAATTTATAGTAAGTTAGTCGACTTTAATGCTTTTTGTTTAATGTTTATATATACATTGGTAAAAATATATATAATGTTAATATTTACTTATAATATATAAGAAGCTTAAAATATTTACTTATAATAATTATAATATTAATTTGTAGTTATTTTATCATTTCAAGGAATGGACTGATAGGGTGGAAAAAATATCTCTTTCACGAAGATATGGAAACGTTAGATAAAGCCAAAACTTATTTTAAGAGGTGCATGATGATGAGTTATTTTTAAAATATGTTAAAACATTGCTGTGTCATTTAAATATATAGTCAATTTAAGAAACAATTATCATTTTTTGTTGAGCAGAGTGTATAATTATATATATATATATATATATATATATATATATATATATATCAGGATGTATATATATATATATATATATAATTCAGGATATATATATATATATATATATATATATATATTGATGAATGTTATACTATAAAAAATGTGGATAACTATTTACAAGATATATTTGTAAGATGCATTTAATTATGCTTACTCTGTTAATATTTTAGAATGAAGCTGCTTCATGCAACATTAAAAATAATTATCGCTATTATTATACTGTGAATGATGACCAAGTGGATATTTTTTTAAACATTTTAAATCACTTGATTTATAAATTTTATGCGCTATGTTAAAATTAAATATGTTATGTTATAATATAAAATAATAAATGTAAACAGAACGATGTGCGAATTTCTTTTTTCACGATATTTTATGTACCTACAATTTCGGAACAATTTAAATATATCTTTAAAATAAACTGCATCTGTAGATTCGCATTTTAATTTCTAAATATTTGTTATGAATCAAACAACACAAGTATGCGTGCTTTGCGCGCGTTATTGATATTACGCGGAAAATAATTTTTTATATATAATTATACGTATATAAATAATTGTATAATTATACATATAATCGTAAAAAATATTATATATGAAATATGTCTATCTTTATACATAATTATGTAAATTTTTTTATAAATTATAAGAGTTCATATATAATCATGTCATATATAAAACATATATATGTGTATATAAATATATATATATATATATATATATATATAAAGAATTACTTATTTATTATATATTGTTATATATAAAAAAATTTTTTTCCCGAAGAATATATATTTTCTAATTTACAACTATTAAACTGTTAATCTTCACAATGACAGTTGCTTGATGCTATTAATATAACACATAATGTTAATCGAGACAACCTATCAAGACTTGTGGCCTTTGAATGACTTATGATTATTTTAGAAAAATGCGAATGTCTATTTGAAAATCAATTGAGTGCCATCAAGTATAGAAATAAGGCTCACGTCAAAAGTATCGCCGTTATCAAGTATATAGCTTAATATCCGAAATTGTTCTGTTTTTGAATGATTTTTCTGACAAGAGAGATATTTCTAAAACTAGAGCGGTAATAAAAAATCGAACGACACTTTGCTTATGTAATGTGAGTATATCAGCTTTCAGTTGTGACCAGTTTAGAAATACGATTGACAATCAGTTAGAGAGAAAAGTGTGTATTTTAAAATAATTTTACTAATACATATTATTAAAATTAAATGTATAAAAATTTTCAATAATTTTTTTTTTAATCTAAAAATATGCTATAATATATAATAATATATGTCATAATATACAATTGAATTTAGCAAATAAATAACAAGTACAACTATAAACTTGGGATAACTAAGTTAGTAGATATTAAATTCAAATAAATGTGTAACAAGTTCACAACTATAAACTTGGGATAACTAAGTTAGTAGATATAAATTTATTCAATACTGCAATAAGTTGGCATAATAATTAAGCTATAGAACTATTTATCATTTATTATATCTTCATCACTTATATTATTTAATTATTATATGTGTATTTTACGATACACATGATGATATTTTAGTCAATTTGTTTCGATATAAATTCAGATATGTATGTGTTTAGACAAAATTGTTTAAAAATACAATAAGTAATTCATTACAGTAAATACTAAATCAAATATTGAACTTTAGACAAAAATTACATATTAAATATAACATAAATTGCATAGTATCATTAATGGTTGTGTTGTTGATGAATCCTTCATATAATTGTCTGCATCGCATTTTTCTTTCTTTATTCAGCTTTGATCTGTAGCATTTTCGGTTATTTGATAAACATAGTTTCATCCTCTCGTTTATGTACCTTTGATTACTATTTATATAAAATCGAAGTGTAGCTACCGCTTATTAGTATAACGAAATATTAATTTAAAAGAAGCAATAACGTTTTAAGTACATTTGTAGATCTTATTTACTGCTACATCGACGTTGTTGATACCGTTCTACGATTGCTTTATTTTAATAATAATGGATAAAAATAATGCAGCAAAATCGATTCCGGCTTTTTACGCTGGACAAAGTATACTTTTGACAGGCGCAACAGGTTTTTTGGGCAAAGTATATTTCGAAAAGATACTGCGATCTTGTCCGGATGTTCGAGAAATATTTATATTGATGCGTCCGAAAAAAGGACTAAATATTAACGAAAGACTCGAGCAAATATTAAACTTACCGGTAAGTTATTTATCAAAATGCATATCTCTTGCAACACACAGCATTTCTTTAAAAATTGTTATTAATTAACATTTTGATAAGAATAATTTTTAGATTATATTTTATTATATTACTATATATACGTCAATTATAATTAATTTTATAATTATAATAAATTTGATAAAAAAGTGTATGAGATGAAACATTGAGAGAAACGTATAAAGTAATTATATGAATTGTAGATAAAGTAATTAAAAAATATTTTACAACTTTTGCGTAAAAGTATTTTACAGTTAAACATTATTATGCCAAATATTCTAACAAATACTATTTAGACATAATATTTTTATTTCAGTTATACGATAAATTACGACAAGAGCAGCCTTTACATTTTAAGAAATTAATTCCAATTTCTGGCGATACCAGACAAGAAAATTTAGGTTTATCAGCTGCCGATAGACAAATGCTGATTGAAAGAGTAAATATAATAATTCATGCAGCCGCATCCGTGAAATTTAACGATACTTTAAAATACGCCATCCTTACTAATACTAGATCAACGAGAGATATATGTATCTTAGCCGAATGTATGAAGAATCTAATCGTAAGTAAATTCGAGATCAATTCTACATTCGCAATATTCCTGAAAAAAATTCCCTTGTTGTATTTTATTAAGTGAAATAGCTTACATTGGGTTTTTATTTAATTTGTGATGTAGTAATATTTTCATTGCACATTTATTTCTAGATGTTTTTCTTGAGGTACATCTTTCTAGCTTAACATGTGAAATATATATACACATATGTTATGTATATATTTACAAAAAATATTATAAATATAAGAAATGTACATTGGTACCAATTAGTATAAATTATTTTTTTATCGTATTATTTAATTAAATGTAGATTTTATTCAATAAGAAATTTAACTGATTATTACTTTGAAGCAGAAAATTAATTATAATCTGTCTGAAATTATGAACACAGCTATATGTTTTGCTATGAACTCTATATAACTATAGTATTTTACTAAAGTACGATTGTATAATATTAATTTTTTTATCTGTTAAAGGCCTTAGTATATGTTAGCACAGCATATTCACATTTGGATAATCCATTTATAGAAGAAAAATTATATTCACCTGTAGATGATTGGCGGAAAATGATAAAAATGGCTGAATCATTGGATGAGCATATCTTAAATATTTTTACAGCTAAGTAAGTGTATCAACCATAAATCAAATACATCATATGCTTATATAAATTTAAATGTGTCGATTAGAAAATATAAAATTATTCTCTTCTATTAATATTGTAATATTCCAATTATTTTCGATCATTTTTTCATGATTTATTTCAATATTTCTGTTTAACATTATGTGCAGATGTTTGAATAATATTCCC